TCTCTGTGACCTTCTTAGCTCTGGGTTACTGGCATAAGTCCCCTGACTGGAGGGAGGCATGAGCCTGTTCTCTCTACTGTGCCCTGGTGTCTTCCAAGGACTGTGCCCCGATGCCTGGCCTGCTTGCTTGCCCACCGGGCTCGTCAGGCCAGGGCTTCTGTTGCTTTGTGACCTGGTTGTCCTACCTAGCTGTAGACCCTCAGGCCCCTTGAAGTGATAGCCACTGCTGGGCGTCTCTGTAGAACCCCCTAGGTCAGTCCAAGACCTGTCAGGAGGCTGTCTATTCCCTGAACCCCATTCTGTGTTTGGGCTCGTGTGGGTTTCTGTACTCTCCCAAAACTCAGGTGTCCCCTGATTTGTGCTAGGGGTGTTGTAGTCGGGACTTGGTTCCTCGACTAGCTCTGTGTATGTTTGACCCCCTGTAGGATTTGGGGTAAGGTCAGGCCAACCTTGGGCATTGTGTGCCAGCTCTCTTGCGGGGAATGATTTGTTGGGATGCCCCCGGGTATCCTCCGTTGCTGGAGTGCTGTGTGCTGTGTGTGGAAAGTGAGTATGCCCCCGGGGTAACTCCCTGGCTGGAGTAGGCGTGAGTGCCTGTTGTGTGGGTAAGCTCCAAGACTTCCTTTTCGGAGCAATTGCAGAACCTTGGGACGAGCCGTTTGTGGCTCCCTCAGTGGCGATGGGCAGTAGCTCTTGCCCTTCCCTTTGCTCCAAAGGGTCCCCCTCCCCCCCTGGAAAAGACCCAGGAGTTTCAGCAGAAAAGTCCCGCCTAGAGCGGAGTTGGTCGATGTGCCGACGCAGGACACGACCGTTGTCCAGGGCAACCTCGTAGGAGAGAGGACCTGTGATCCTGGACACAGAAGCGGGGACCCATGTATGACCAGGCCCGTAATTGCGAGCCCAAACCGGGGCACCCACAAGTAGTTGTCTAGGTGCCCTAGGATGTGAGGTAGATGAAGGCAGTCTGTCCGGATGCAACCGGTCAAGTCTAGTAGTAAGTTGGCGCCCCCAACGAAGTTCAGCTGGACTTCTCCCTGTAGAAGTGGACGGTGTGGTGCGATAAGAAAGGAGAAAGTCAGCCAACCTGTGATGCCAGTCCCCGTAGGTGAGTCTCTTCAAGGCGTCCTTTGCGATGCGCACCATGCGTTCAGCCATACCGTTGGTGGATGGGTGAAAAGGCGCAGATGTGGCATGACGAATCAGGTTTGCCTGTAAGAAAGCTTGGAATTCGGAGGAGGTGAATTGAGGGCCGTTGTCAGACACAATGACATCTGGCAGCCCGTGTGCAGCAAAAATCCCCCTCAGTACCTGAATAGTCTTTGCAGTGGTGGTGGACGAGACAGGCACAACCTCAAGCCATTTTGAATGGCTGTCAACAAGGACCAAGAAGAACTGGCCCTGAAAGGGCCCAGCGTAGTCAATGTGCACCCTAGACCATGGGGACTGTGTTTCCTCCCATTTATGCACAGGAGCTTGGGGCATCTCTGGGCGAGATCGTTGGCACATGTGGCATGCGTGTACCTTAGCCTCAATATCTTTATCTAAAGCAGGCCACCACAAGTGGCTGCGTGCAAGAGCCTTCATACGAACAATGCCAGGATGACCCTCGTGGAGGGATTCTAAGACCCTAGTCCTCATTGAGGTGGGAATGACAACTCTGTTTCCCCAAAGCAAACAACCCTGAGAAAGGGACAATTCGTTCCTTTTGGACCAGAAACTCTGAAACTCAGGAATAGGGCAGTGCTCAGGCCACCCGGACAGGACCCAGGAGCGGACACGTGAAAGTGTGTGATCTGTACCTGTTTCAGCGGTAACATCCCTGGCACTAAGAGGAAGCTCGGGCAAGGCTTGGATTGATAGAATGTTGACAGCTGGCGCGGGGTCAGCTTCTACTACTGGCAGAGGCAACCTACTGAGGCCATCAGCATGGCCATTTCTTTCCCAGGCTTGTGGAGTAATGAAAAATCATATGCAGACAAAAAAATAGACCACCTAAGCATTCTAGGGGAAATGATGTGGGGAGTCTGCTTACGTGTGGTAAACAGTCCCAGCAGAGGCTTATGGTCAGTGAAGACCGTGAAATGCCTGCCATATAGAAAATCGTGGAATTTTTTAATTCCAGCAACAACAGCCAGAGCCTCCCTGTCTATCTGAGCGTAGTTGCGCTCGGCAGAAGACAATGTTCTGGAGTAGTATGCAATAGGAACCTGAGTTCCATCAGACCTGAGGTGACTCAGGACAGCTCCAACCCGTAGGGGGATGCATCACAAGCGATGCACACAGGGAGAGACTCGTTGAAATGTGCAAGAACACTGTTAGAAGTGAGCAAGGCCTTGACTTCTTTAAAGCAAGCCTCATGTGCTTGTGACCACAGCCACACAGCTTGTTTGTCTAGTAGCCTGTGAAGAGGCTCAGCTACACTAGCTTTATGTGGAAGAAAAGAATTGTAGAAATTCAGGAGGCCTAAGAAGGCCTGAAGTTCGGCCTTAGACTTTGGCCTGGGTGCTTCTAAAATAGCAGTTAGTTTGGATTCAGCAGGATGAATCCCAGCAGCATCAATTTTGAATCCCAGAAATTCAGTAGAAGGCACCCCAATCTTGCATTTGTCTTTTCTGAGCTTAAGGCCTGATTTCCTGAATCTTAACAGGACAGCCCTAAGCCTTTCAGCTAGAATGTGTGTGGAGTCTCCTGCAATCAAGACATCGTCAAAGTAGGGGCAGACCCCTGGTATACCTCGTAGTGTGTTTTCCATTACGCTTTGGAAAATCCCAGGAGCGACATTCACTCCAAACTGCAGCCTTTTTACCTTAAAGGCTCCCCTGTGGGTCACAATAGTCTGAGCTATGGCAGCATCATTATCAACAGGCAGCTGTTGATATGCTTGAGCTAGGTCAAGCTTTGCAAAAACACGCCCCCCCTTGAGAGAGGCCAGGATGTGACTGACCACAGGAACAGGATAGGCATGTTGCTGCAATGCCTTATTGAGTGTGCATTTGTAATCAGCACAAATGCGAATGTCCCCATTTGCCTTTAGAGGCGTGACAATGGGGGTCTCCCATGGGCTGGAATCAACAGGTTCTAGGATTCCTTGTTGGATTAGTTTGTCTAATTCAGTGTCAATCTTACTTTTTAAAGCAAAAGGGACCCTTCTTGCTTTAATCCTAATGGGAGTGACAGTGGGGTCTAGCTTTAAGGACACAGGTGGTCCTTTGAATGTGCCCAGCTGGGGGCTGAAAACATCTGCAAATTCCTTGCAGACTTCCTGTAGGTCGAGTGTTTGTAAGCTGTTGAGTCCTGTGACGTGTATCCCCAGGGCCTCAAACCACTCGAGTCCTATGAGACTCGTTCTTTCACCCCCTACTACTAACAAGTCTAGTGGACCTTCAAAACTCTTGTATTGCACGTTAAGGGTGGCCTCCCCCTTAACACACACTCTTGAGTTCTGAAAATCAGTTAATACAATATCAGAAGGCCTTAACTTGGCCTTAGTCCCACTACTGGAACAAATCTTCCTAAATGTATGCAATGAAATGATGGAAAGGGCAGACCCTGTGTCTAGTTCCATAGATAATGGAACCCCTTGTAGCTTCACGTTGAGTGACAGCTTTTTCTTCATGGGCTTGTGTGTGCCTGTCCTACAAATGTTTCTACGCGAAGCGCAAAAACCTACCCTATTCTGGCTGGGGACTCTGGTACCCTTCAGGCGTTCTTCTTGAGGTTGTGCCTTTCGTCGGCCCAGACACACAGCTGCAATGTGCCCTAGTTGCCGCATGCCCGGCAGGTAGCGGAGCGGAACTTGCAGTCGGTTCTCCTGTGGCGACCTCCACAGCCGATGCACTTGAGCGGAGCTGAAGAGCTTTCCTTCTGATTTTCTCCCTTCGCGGGGTGTAGACGGTCGACGTCTTCGTCCGGATCCTCCTCGGAGTTTCGTCGGACGTCTTCTTGGTGCACGGACGCACCCTCTGCACTGCTTCTGATCGGCCGCATGTTCTTGACGGCGCCGCCTGCTGCTTCTTCCGCGGTGGCTTCCCTTAAAGCGTCTTGGAAGGATAATTCTTCCTTAGCGAAAAGTCTCTGTTGTAGCTCTCGATGCCTCAACCCGCACACGAATCGGTCCCTCAGTCGTTCCTCGAGGTCCTTGAACTCGCAGGGCTTGGCGGCCTTCCGTAACGCGGCGATGTATTCCTTGGCTGACTCACCGGACCGTTGATCCCTCTGTTCGAAGGTGTGGCGCCATGAGATAACGGACACCTTGGGGTGGAAGTGCTCCTTCAGCAGCTTCTTCAGGTCTGCGTAGCTTACAGACTCTACTGGAACAGGTGCTGCAAGGTTTTCTGCGATTTCGAAGGCGTCTTGGCCGCAAGCGCAAAGCAGGGTGGCAGCCTTCAAGCTATCTTCCCTCACTTGGTTTGCCTTGAAGTAGTTCTCCATTCTGGATACGTAGGACTCCCACCGCTCTGGATGTGAGACGTCGAATTCCGCAAGCCTTCCGATTTTCGCCATCTTCGGATCTTCAGGAGACGGGTCTATCAGCCAGCCTACCCCCGAATGCGCACTGGATTGGCGGGCAGCTGCTGAGTCAACACCGTTCCTCTTCCGCCGCTCAGGACTCCTTGGGTAAGCTTACACTTTTTCCTTTCCAGGTAGTGCAAGGCATCCCACCTTCGTCGCCAGTGTTGCGTCCTTGGCGGGAAAACAGACACGAGAAGCAGCTGGAGTTCTCAGTTCTTTTATTCAGCGTTCAGCTTACAGGAAGATGGCTTCAGCTCAGCCCAAACGCCTCACAGCCTCTTATATAGGCAACTCCCGGGTAAATGGGTTACTTTTCCCGCGCCAGCACCCGCGCATGCGCACGGCGCTGGCGACAGCCTGTCTGGTCCCGGGCAGCTTTGCACCTGCCCGGGACTGCCTGCAAACGCCCGAGCCGTTTGCAAGGCTCGGGACATAACACCCGGGCTGCGGGGAAAGGTAGCGGGGCCGGGCGAGCGGGCGAGCGGGCCATGGAGGCGCTGGCGATGCTGGCGGGGGGCGCGGCGCTCCTGCTGGGGCTCTGCGCGCTGCTCTACTACAACTTCGCGGCGGCCACGCGGTGCCGGAACGCGGTCAGCCTGCGGGGCAAGACGGTTCTCATCACAGGTAGCTCCGGGGGCCGCTGCGCTCCCATCCGTGGCGGGGGGGGCGTCGAGGCTGGGGTGGGGGGCGTTGGCATTGAGGAAACCCAAGAAAGTCCGGTCCAAAAAGCCCCTTTGGAACAAAGCAGGGGAGAACCCAAAGGGGAGGGGGGGAACCGGGAGGGTCCCCAGAGACCAGCCGTCGCCGGGGCTGCCTCGCACCTTGAGACCCCCCCCCTTTCCGAGGCCGAGAGGGGGGGACGGGGAAGAGCCGGACACTGGCCGGAGGGGCGCGGGGGAGAAAGTTCTGAGCCCAAGTCCCGTTCCTGATCCAGCCAGGGGTAGCCAGACTTCGGGAGGGCGAACGGAATCACAGAGTCGGAAGGGGCCCTGGAGGGCTTCTAGTCCAACCCCCTGCTCAAGCAGGAGACTCTTGACTGTCCAATCTCTTCTTAAAAACCTCCAGCGATGAAGCAGCCACAACTCCTGGAGGCAGGTTGTTCCACTGGTTCATTTTTCTCACTGTCAGGAAATTCCTCCTTAGTTCCAGATTGCTTTTCTCCTTGATCGGTTCAGAGAAGAATCCAAGGAGGCTTTGGGGGCTTTTTTTGTCGATAACAAAGACAAGAAAGTCTGGATAGTGGACGTGGCAATGCCTGGAGACAGCAGAATAGAAGAGAAAGAACTGGAGAAGATCACAAAATACAAAGACCTACAAATAGAAATAGAAAGACTGTGGCAAAAGCAAGCAAGGGTAGTACCAATAGTCATAGGCTCCTTGGGTGCAATCCCAAAACAACTGGAGCACCACTTGAACACCATCAGCATTGACAAATTCGCTATTAGTCAATTGCAAAAGGCGGCCTTACTAGGAACTGCTTCCATCCTGTGAGATATCTGTAATACCATCAAACATCCACATCTGCCTATCCCAGGTCCTGGGTAAGGACTCGATAGGTAGACAAAATGCCAAATCCAGTCTGAACATCCGGCTGACTGTGCAATGATCCATGATAATAATAATAATACTTGGGTATCCTTCAATCTGACAACATCAAGCACACTGAAGTCAAGAAAAAGATTAGAGGTGAATACATCAAGAGAGTGAAGAAGATCTTAAAGTCCAAACTCAATGGAGGAAATACCATAAAGGCAATTAACACCTGGGCAATTCCAGTCATTAGGTGCACAGCTGGAATAGTGGACTGGACTCAAGCAGAACTAAAAGCAATGGATAGGCAGACCAGAAAAATAATGACAATGAATCATGCCCTTCATCCACTCAGTGACATTGTCAGACTTTATCTACCAAGGCAAATAGGTGGGCGTGGAATGCTACAAGTACATCAGATGGTTGAAGAAGAAAAAAAAGGCTTTGGAAGAATATCTGAAGAACAATGATGAAGATGCACTGAAATTAGTATATCAGGAGGCAGCCACAACTTCTGGAGGCTGGTTGTTCCACTGGTTAATTGTTCTAAATGCCAGCATATTTCTCTTTAATTGCAGGTTGCTTCTTTCTTTGATGAGTTTCCATCCGTTGCTTCTCGTCCTGCCTTCGGGCGCTTTGGAGAACAGGTTGACACCCCCCCTTTCTCTATGGCAGCCCCCCAATTATTGGAAGAGGGCTCTCATGTCAGTCTACTGCTTCCCTTTGCTAGACTAGACAGACGATGTTGCTGGCTGGTTGGGATAGGAGGTGGATGGAAACCAGCTTTCCAGGCTCTTGCAGGCTCAGTTGGATGGAGACAGGCGTCCCTTTTCTTAATCTCCGGTTCTGCTTTGCCCCCCCCCCCCACCAAAGCTCTAGTTCCCCCCCCCCCCCAGGATGGAGAGAAGCCAGGAGCAATTCAGAGAAGAAACCATGAAGGCTTTGGGGGCAGTTCAGCCCTGCAAGCCAGACGGAGGAGTAACTCAACCAACTTTCATGCCTAAGGCAGGACTAGAACTCACCGTCTCCTGGTGATTGGCCCAAAGTCAACCAGCTGGCTTTGATGCCTAAGGCAGGACTAGAACTTACCATCTCCTGGTGATTGGCCCAAAGTCACCCAGTTGGCTTTCATGCCTAAGGCAGGACTAGAACTCACCGTCTCCTGGTTATCTGCCCAAAGTCGCCCATTGTGATCCTTCTTGTACGAAAGAAAATCAAGGTGAGGTTGGACTAGATGACCTAGAAAGTCCCTTAAAACTCTATTATTCTAATTCTAAAACTTTGTAAAGCGGTATTCATACTTCACGTGATCTTGATTCTGTGCCTCTGTTTATACAACCCAGGATTGTGTTAGCTTTTTTGGCTGCTGCTGCTCACGGCTGGCTCACGGTCAAGGGATCGTCCACCAGGACCCCCAGGTCCCTCTCACAGGGGCTGTGTTTGAGCCGGGTTTTGTCTAATTTGTATTTGTATCTTTGCTTTTCCCCACCTAGGTGTAAAACCTTGCTTCTCTCCACATTAAATTTCATTTTGTCGATAGGGCCCAAACAATTGCCTCTCCCTCTCCTGCACCATCAAACCTGGCAGCGTAAGAATACCATAGTTTATGCTAAACTTTTGCTTTCAGAGAACAAAAACAGCCCTCAAAGCATAAAACAGGAGGAAAAATGCCATAACATTTACAGAAGTGGCTTGCTGAAGCCTCCCTCCTCGGGCAGAGTTGAAAAATGACCAGCCCAAAATCACTCAGTGGAATTAATCAGAATTAATCAATTAACCAGTGGAACAACCTGCCTCCAGAAGCGGTGAATGCTCCAACACTGGAAAGTTTTTAAGAAGAGACTGGACTGCCATTTGTCTGAAAGGGTATAAGGTTTCCTGCCTGAGCAGGGGGTTGGACTAGATGACCTCCAAAGTCCCTCTCAACTATTATTGTTGTTGTCGTCATCATCATCATCATCATCATATCACTCAGCCGGCCCTCATGGGAAAAAGCAGCATTTAATAATAATAATAATAAAGTTGGAAGGGACCTTGGAGGTCTTCTAGTCCAACCCCCTGCTCAGGCAGGAAACCCTATACCATTTCAGACAAATGGCTGTCCAGTCTCTTCTTAAGAACTTCCAATGTTGGAGCATTCACCGCTTCTGGAGGCAGGTTGTTCCACTGGTTAATTGTTCTAACTGTCAGGAAGTTTCTCCTTAGTTCCAGGTTGCTTCTCTCCTTGATTAGTTTCCATCCGTTGCTTCTTATCCTGCCTTCAGGCGCTTTGGAAAGAAGCTTAATTCCCTCTTCTTTATGGCAGCCCCTGAGATATTGGAACACTGCTATCCTGTCCCCCCTCGTCCTTCTCTTCTTTAAACTGGACATACCCAATTCCAGCAACCGTTCCATATATATATATTTGAACTCACAGTTCTCCATTCTTGTAACGTGTGGCCATAACCACGAAACCAAACTGGTTCTCCATAAACGTTTCCCTTGACAACAGGAAAAGGAAAAGAAATTGAGCAGACACATTAAGCAGCATCTAATCCCCACTTTTGGAGTAGCAAGGAGTCCCAAAGACACATACTTTAACAGATGTTAAATAAAACTTCACAGGATTGGTCCTTTGTCTAGAATGCCCTCAAAGGCATTATTAAGGATAAATCCAGGCTATAATAAAAGGAAAATCACTGAAGCCTGACACATATACAAAAACAGAATTATCAGGATGGGACCTTAGAGATTCTCTAGTCCAACCCCTTCTCTGAAGCAAGAAGCTCTTCATTTTAGAGCAGTGGTTCTCCACCTGTGGGTCGGGACCCCATTTGGGGTCGAATGACCATTTCACGGGGGTCGCCAAACAATGCAGTCTGCCATTTTTTCCCCCTTTTCCTTAGCTGTGCTACTCCCTTGTATTCTATTGGCTTTTTGAAAGCCAATAGAATAGACTCTCTTGAATAGAGTCTAATTCTACTGGCTTTCCAAAGCCAATAGGAATTGTCCAGGCTGTCTCTGCCCTGCTGAGCCCACCAAAAGTCCCATTCTGCAAACGGTGCTGCACCAGTTGAGTAGTCCTCGACTTACGACCGGTTGAGTAGTCCTCGACTTACGACCGGTTGGGGGTCGCGACATTAAAAAGGTTGAGAACCACTGTTTTAGACAAATGGTTGTCCAGTTTCCTCTTTAAAAACCTCCAATAATGACTCACCCGCAACTTCTGGAGACAATCATCCCACTGATTAATTATTCTCCCAGTCAGGAAATTTTACCCAGTTCCTGTTCTTTAAAAAAGACAAATATGCAGACAGGAACTGCTTCCCCACACAAACCTTTTTTTCTCCCTCATTGTAAAAACTTGCTATTGCTACAAGTGTGGTTCAACGTAACATCTCCAAAGACGCTGTCCAGAGAGGAAAAACTGAGGTACAGCAAGACAAGGAGATAAAACGACACAACCAACCAAAGATGGGATATTATTTACCCAGGCAGCAATGAAGAAAAACACACGCAACGAGTGGCTACTAGACAGAGGGGCAAACCAGCATGTTGCAGCAAACTTACATGCATGTATTGGTTTAAGACTAACTAACCAGGATTTTGTCATCCTGGCTAATGGACAACGGTCAGGAAATGTATATGTAATTGAACTAGGGGTAACATTGAAAAAGGTATTATATGTGCCAGATATAACCATAATTTACTAAGTGTTGCATGTCCAGATAGCAAGGAATATGAAGTAATGTTTGCTAGAGGGCAATATACTATCAATAAAGATGGGAGGATTTGTGCACGGGGCATTGGACAGAATGGTTTATGTATATTAGGAGAACAGAAGGATGTTTGTGCAAGTACTCTGACAAACACACCCACACATGATAATTGTGTGCATCTAATGCATAGGAGATTAGGTCATGCCAGCTTTAGAGTGCTACAGAAAATGCCAAGAAACAGCAGAAGGACTGAAAGTGAAGAACTGTGATGCGTACCTAGATTGTGCCGTGTGTAAGGAGTCAAAACCTAAGGTTTATCCTGTTAGCAAGAAAAGCTTAAGAAGAACAAACAAGGTTTTCCAGTTAGTACACGCTGATTTAATAGGTCCTATGGCATCATCGATTGGAGGAGCGAGGTATGCTCTGGTAATTGTAGATGATTATACCAGATATGGATTTTGTTATTTACTCCAACACAAAACAGGTATTGCAACAATTTAAACAATGGGTGACATTTGTGTAATGCAGATATGGCAGTAAAGTATGCCAATTGCAGACAGACGGGAGCAGAATTTATGTCCCGACAATTTTCAACGTTGGCTTAGGAGTCTAGGTGTTAGACACAGACAAACAAACCCATACACACCAGCTGAAAATGGAGTAGATGAAAGGAGAATGGCATATTACAGACAATGAAGGACTCACTACTTACAGATGCAGGCATGAGTAGAGGGTACTGGGGACAAGCCATAAAAATGGCTAACTATTTAATAAATAGATTGTGGAATTCTCCTTTGAATGAAACTCCATATTTTTTGTTATACCACCTAAGAACTTTTGGTAGTTATGCCTGGATACATAATCCTAACAGCACTAGAAAGAAAGAACAGAAGAAGACCAGAAAACTGAGGTTTATAGGATAGGAGCGAAGATACAGGGACTGTAGCAGTGTTGGCGAAACTTTTAGAGACCGAGTGCCCAAAAACCGCCCCACCCCATCACCCCCATCGCTCTGCCCTGCCTGTTCCAACCCTGCCCCCACTCCCACCCCACCTGCTGGGCCACCCACCCCCTCCACGGCCCACCGCAGATCGCTCAGGTGGCCCTGCAGCGCCATGATGGACACACCCTCCATCCGCGCCCCACAGCATCATCTGCGCATGACGGGATGCAAAGCCGGAGTCTTGTCCCTACTGCCCAGTTGCCATGTGCTTGGCTGAGCTGCTCTACGCCCGGGGGGCGACTCTCCTCCGGGGGGCTGCTGATGAGGGGGCTGTGGGGGCAGGCAGGGCTGGGGCGACAGCGTGCGTGCCCACAGAGAGGGCTCTGAGTGCCACCTCTGGCACTCGTGCCATAGGTTTGCCACCACTGGACTATAGGTTTACTGATGGAACGCAGAAAGTTGTGATTTCACATTCTGCCAGCTTTGCAGAGCATAGTAATTGGGATAGGGTACATGCCAAAAAAAAAAAAAAGGTGTTTATTCCATCAGATAGTAATAGATCTCGCGGAGGAGAAGCTACAGAAGACCCATCATCGGAGAAAATGGGTAACAGATCAGAAACTGTAAACATAAAGGAGGAGAGAACTGACATGAAAAGTGAAGACACAGAAGCACAGGAACAGGTGTTACCAGGCGATTGGAACGAATTAATAAAGGAGTACCTCCTAATAGATACAAGGCAAGTGAGGTTAGAGTATGTAGTGTATGTTTTGAACCTTGCAATCATCAAGAAATGATGTCCTTACCGAAAACAGAACAAGAAAAATGGAAAGAAGCCCTGGACAGGGAAATGGAATCTATGGATATGCATCATGGATATGCCCATGAGATTACCAGAAGGAAAACAGGCTGTGGGATGTAAGTGGGTATATAAAAAGAAGGTGTTACAAAATAATGAACTGCAATACAAGGCAAGACTGGTAGCATAGGCATTCACACAAAGAAAAAATGTTCATTACGATGAGGTGTTTGCACCAACAGTTAAGAGTGAAACAATAAGGCTAGCAATAGCTTTAGTTGCTGCACGTGATTATGTCATATATCACTATGATATCTCCATTGCATATCTAAATGCTGAATTGGAAGAGGAGATATATATGACACTTTTATATATATATATAAAAGTTCAGAGAAGAGCAAGTAAAATAATCAAAGGCCTGGAGACTAAAGCATACGAAGAACAGTTACAGGACTTGGGTGTGGCTAGTCTAGAGAAAAGAAGAAACAGGGGCAACATAATAATAATAATAATAATAATAATAATAATAATAATAAAGTTGGAAGGGACCTTGGAGGTCATCTAGTCCAACCCCCTGCTAAGGGGAGGAAGAATACTACAAATACTTGGGTATCCTTCAAGCTGACAACATCAAGCACACTGAAGTCAAGAAAAAGATTAGAGGTGAATACATCAAGAGAGTGAAGAAGATCTTAAAATCCAAACTCAATGGAGGAAATACCATAAAGGCAATCAACACCTGGGCAATCCCAGTCATTAGGTACACAGCTGGAATAGTGGACTGGACTCAAGCAGAACTAAAAGCAATGGATAGGCAGACCAGAAAAATAATGACAATGAATCATGCCCTTCATCCACGCAGTGACATTGATAGACTTTATCTACCAAGGCAAATAGGTGGGCGTGGAATGCTACAAGTACATCAGATGGTTGAAGAAGAAAAAATGACTTTGGAAGAATATCTGAAGAACAATGATGAAGATGCACTGAAATTAGTATATCAGGAAGGCTTACTAACTACTGGAGAGACCAAACTGGCCTACAAGAAAGACCAAATGAAGAACAGAATAGAGGCATGGGAAGACAAAGCACTACATGGCCAATACATGAAAAAATAGCTGGGAAAGCAGATAATAATAAAACCTGGCAATGGCTAAGAGCAGGAAAATTGAAGAAAGAGACCGAGGGACTAATTCTGGCTGCACAAGACCAAGCCTTAAGAACAAATGCATATAAAGTCAAAATTGAGAAAACAGCAACAGACAGTAAGTGCTGTCTATGCAAAGAAGCTAAAGAAACAGTGGACCACTTGGTAAGCTGTTGCAAGAAGATTGCACAGACTGATTACAAGCAGCGGCATGACAAAGTAGCAACAATGGTGCATTGGAAGATCTGCAAAAAATATAATTTGCCTGTAAGCAAAAACTGGTGGGATCATAAAATAGAGAAAGTCATAGAAAATGATAAAATTAAACTGCTCAGGGACTTCAGAATTCAAACAGACAAGCACCTGCAACATAACACCCCAGACTTAACAATTGTCGATAAGAAAGACAAAAAAGTCTGGATAGTGGACGTTGCAGTGCCTGGAGATAGAAGAATAGAAGAGAAAGAACTGGAGAAGATAACAAAATACAAAGACCTACAAATAGAAATAGAAAGACTGTGGCAAAAGCAAGCAAGGGTAGTACCAATAGTCATAGGCTCCTTGGGCGCAATCCCAAAACAACTGGAGCACCACTTGAACACCATTGGCATTGACAAATTTGATATTAGTCAATTGCAAAAGGCGGCCTTATTAGGAACTGCTTCCATCCTGCGACGATACCTGTAATACCATCAAACATCCACATCTGCCTATCCCAGGTCCTGGGTAAGGACTCGATAGGTAGACAAAATGCCAAATCCAGTCTGAACATCTGGCTGACTGTGCGATGAATGATAATAATAAAGTTGGAAGGGACCTTGGAGGTCATCTAGTCCAACCCCCTGCTAAGGCAGGAAACCCTATACCATTTCAGACAAATGGCTGTCCAGTCTCTTCTTAAAAACTTCCAGTGTTGGAGCATTCACCGATTCTGGAGGCAGGTTGTTCCACTGGTTAATTGTTCTCACTGTCAGGAAGTTTCTCCTTAGTTCTAGGTTGCTTCTCTCCTTGATTAGTTTCCATCCGTTGCTTCTTGTCCTGCCTTCAGGCGCTTTGGAGGATAGCTTGACTCCCTCTTCTTTGGGGCAGCCCCTGAGATATTGGAATACTGCTATCATGTCCCCCCTTGTCCTTCTCTTCGTTAAACTAGACATACCCAATTCTCGCAACCGTTCCTTATATGTTTTAGCCTCCAGTCCACTAATCATCTTTGTTGCTCTTCTCTGTACTCTTTCTAGAGTCTCAACATCTTTTTTACATCGTGGTGACCAAAACTGGATGCAGTATTCCAAGTGTGGCCTTACCATTGTAAAGTGGTATTAATACTTCACGTGATCTTGATTCTATCCCTCTGTCAATGCAGCCTAGCACTATGTTGGCTTTTTTGGCAGCTGCAGTACACTGCTGGCTCATATTTAAATGATTGTCCACTAAGACTCCAAGGTCCCTCTCACAGTAACTACTATTGAACAAGGTACCCCCTATACTATACCTGTACATTTGGTTTTTCTTGCCTAAATGTAGAACTTTGCTTTTTTCACCATTGAATTTCATTTTGTTAGATAGCGCCCAGTGTTCGAGTCTGTCCAGATCCTCCTGTATTCTAAGCCTGTCTTCTGGAGTGTTGGCTATTCCTGCCAGCTTGGTGTCGTCTGCAAATTTGATGAGTTCCCCATCTATCCCCTTGTCCAGATCGTTGATGAAGATGTTGAAGAGCACTGGGCCCAGAACAGAGCCCTGGGACACCCCACTACACACTTTCCTCCATGTAGATGCGGTTCCATTGAGGACCACATGTTGAGTAAGGCTGGTCAGACAGCTACGGATCCATCTGGTGGTGATGCGGTCTAACCCGCATTTTTCTATCTTATCAAGTAGTAGGTTGTGGTCTACTTTGTCAAATGCCTTACTGAAGTCCAAGTAAATTATATCCACAGCATTCCACTGGTCCACTAATTTTGTCACTTGGTCAAAGAATGCAATAAGATTTGTCTGGCATGATCTGTTTTTGACACACTCGCGTTGGCTTTGAGTAATGACTTTGTTTGCCTGTAGGTGATTATCTTTTCCTGAATCTTCCCAGGTATTGAAGTCAGGCTGATAGGTCTGTAATTTCCTGGGTCCTTTTTTTTTCCTTTTTTGAAGATGGGAACTACATCAGCTCTTTTCCAGTCCTCTGGTAGTTTCCCAGTGCTGCAGGATCTTTGAAAAATATAGTTCAGTGGTTCTGAGATCACATCTTCCAGTTCCTTGAGGACCTTGGGGTGTAGTCCATCTGGTCCTGGTGATTTGAACTCGTCTAGGCCGGACAGAGGCTCACTTACCATTTTCTTGCCTATCTTAATTTGTGTTTCTATTCTGTTTTTTATGGCACTATTTTTGATACGTTGGTCTGTTTTTCCCCTTTGTGTAAAGACAGATTTATGTCCAGACGGAGCCCCGTCTGGACATCCTCATCAACAATGCTGGTGGGTGCAGAGCAGACCCCCCCTCCCAGGGTATCAGGGCAAGGAAGGGGGAATATTGTGGGGGTCTCCGGGATTTCTCTTCCTTCGGGGGTTTGGCCGTAACTTCAGAAGCAGCTCTCTCCTCTTTGCAGTTCCTCATTTTTGGTATCCCACCTTTATTATTATTTTTACAAGTAACTCAAAGCGGTGAACAGATCAAACACACCTTCCTATTTTTAGTTGTTTGTTTTTGGTATCCTGCTTTTATTATTATTTTTACAAGTGTCCAAACTGGATACTTTACATGAAATCCTTGACTTATGACCATGACGGAGCCTGCCAATTATGGTTGTAAGTTGTGATGGTTGTAAAGCAGGTCACCCCTTTTTTGAAGCGGTTGTTTAGCAAACCAATTGTTCACTATAAGTGTTTTTGCTGAAAACTGCAAGTAAATGTCTTTTTTGGCAAAAATGTCCTAAATCACGGTCACTTGACATGTTGCCAAGGACAGGCTGGTCGTCAAGCACCCAGAAGGCGATCATGTGGTCACAAGGGGGAGCCACTGGAGCTTTGGAACCGGCTCGTAATTGCCATTTGGTAATTACATCCATCATAACCTTGAATGATCACAAAGTTACCTGTTGTAAGGTGAAGACTACCTGTAATTATTTTTCTGGCAGGGGTCATGACAGCTGGTCATACCATTGATGGCTTTGATGAGGCCTTCCAGGTCAACCACCTGGCCCACTTCCTGCTGACCCACCTACTCCTGGACCGGCTGAAGCGCTGTGCCCCGAGCCAGGTCATAATCTTGGCCTCGATTATGCATTGCGTTGGGAAGATTGACTTTCAGACCATCCACAAGCCAGGAAAGGGGTTGTGGCAGGTCATAAATTCGTACCACGACAGCAAACTAGCCAACATTCTCCACACGCGAGAGTTGGCCAATCGGCTGGAAGGAACCAACGTCACCTGCTATGCGGTTCATCCAGGTGAGTGAAAGTCTGGCTCCAAGAAGCCCCATATGGAGACACCTCCCCCAGGTCCATCTGGGGCTCCACCGGGCATTTCTCTCCTATTGGGGGCTCCCTTGACCCCCTCTGCAGAGCCACCCCGAGAGTTTCCTCCATTGGGCTCAGCTGTGGAGGGAGACGTCTCTCACCCTCCTGGGTCCAGGAGCTAATAGAATCCAAGAATCTTAGAGTAGGAAGGACCCTTGGAGGTCTTCTAGTCTAACCTCCTGCCTAACGCAGGGATGAGGCTTTTCCCAGTCTCTTGCTTCTCTTTGTCCTCCTCCTTATGCTTTTTCTGTTCCTCCCATCCTTCCCCCTCCCTTTCCTCCTTATCCTCCTCCTCCTCGTCTCCATAACTGCCACTCACTTCTAGCACTGTTGCCCAAATCTCCCATGATTCCTTGGGGAAACAGGTGATGTGTGAAGGGTTCGTATTGATATGCAGGTTCTGAGGTTTTGCTAGTTAAAGAAAGCGCCTTTTTAAGTTTTACGTTTTTATTCAGCTGAATAGAGACGGACCCCTCTAAATGAGGGGAGCCACGAATGATAAGAAATCCTTGTATTTATTCTGTATAATTACATAAGCAACCCATCCAGCAAAGCTGACACACATAAAATAAAGATTGCACCCAGTTAAGTCTGGCACACTGTAGATAAGAAGGGAGAAAGCAGAAGCAGCTACACATGTTCCCATTTGAGTGTTCCCTAAAGATATCGTACGTTCTTGGGTGGGTTAGGACATTGGGTGTTGTCCTTGCTGTCCTTTCCTGACCCTGCGTCCAGGATTACAAGTGACCAAAGAGAGAGAACCCATCTATATGTATTCACAATTAATACTGTCCCCTAATTCTTGGTCATCAATATGGGACCTCCCCCCCCCAAAAAAAAAATCCAGGCAACCTTCCATCCCTGCCCTGCTCTCACAGCCTTTGTTCTCACAGGATTTGTTCTCACCGAAATGACTCACTTCTATCCCCCTTGGATGATTTGGATCCTCAAGCCGTTCCTCCAAGATACCAACACTGGCGCCCAGACCACCATCTTCTGCGCCACCGAGGAGGGCATCGAGAGGCTGAGTGGTCAGTATTTCGCGGACTGCCGGCCGAAGGTGCCCTGGCCACAAGCCCGCGATGACCAGATGGCTGAGCTATTCTGGGAATTCAGCGAGATGCTGCTGGGACTGACCACTCCACACGGGAAGGGACAGGGACAGAGTTTGGGGTAACCGAAATCGGGCTTCTGATTGCAGGTAGCCCTCGACTTACAACCATCCATTTAGCGACCTTTCAAAGTTGCAACACCCTTGGAAAAATCGACTTATCACCAGCGTCAAGATTCTGATTGACGAACCCAACCAAGTAAACATTTTTGAGGCTTTCTGAACTCTTAATGTAAAACTTTATTGAGTACATCCTTACGGCATGCATGCAAGCAAAATCAGCTCTGGCAAAACCCCACCCAAGCCCCATATAGTAAAAGTATAGAATTCCCCCTCCTCCTTCTTGGTCAGGTCACGTTGCCCAATTAGGAGGGAAAATATGGTTATGAGAAAGTGTCTCTGGGTCTGGCCAGACACCTGGTGAACTGTCCTTGGTTCTCACGATCTGCTTTCTTGATCTTTTGAAGTCTGCATTCCGGTCCGCTATCCCTCCCCCCAAGTTTGTTGACAAGCTGAGAAGCTATAACTGTCAGACTCAGCGTGTAGTCCTCAATGGAACCGCATCTACATGGAGGGAAGTGTGTAGTGGGGTGCCCCAAGGCTCTGTTCTGGGCCCAGTGCTCTTCAACACCTTCATCAACGATCTGGACGAGAGGATAGATGGGGAACTCAATGGTGAAAAAAGCAAGGTTTTACATTTAGGCAAGAAAAACCAAATGCACAAGTACAGCATAGGTGGCACCATGCTCAATAGTTAGTAACTGGTGAAGAGGGACCCGAGTCCTAGATAGACAATCACCTAAATATGAGCCAGAAGTTGTGCTGCAGCTGACAAAAAGGCCAACACAGTGCTACGGCTGCATTAACAGAGGGATAGAATCAAGAATCACGTGAAGTATTAAATACCACTCTTCACTGCTTTGGTAAGGCCCACACTTCGAATACTGCATCCACGTCTTTGGTAACCACGGATGTAAAAAAGATGTCTGGAGACTCTGGAAAGAGACAGAGAAGAGGCAACCAAATATGATTAGGGTACGGAGGCTAAAAACATATAAGGAACGGTTGCTAGAATTGGTAATGTCTACTATAACGAAGGAGAAGGACAAGGGGGGACATGATAGCAGTTACCAGGGGCTTGCCATAAAGAAGGAGGGAAATTAAGCTATTTTCCAAAGACCTGAAGGCAGGACAAGAATCAAACGGGTGGAAACTAATCAAGGAGAGAAGCAACCTAGAACTAAGGAGAAACGTCCTGACAGTGAGAACAATTAATCAGTGAAACAGCCTGCCTCCAGAAGCAGTAAATGCTTCAACACTGGAAGTTTTTAAGAAGAGACTGGACAGCCATTTGTCCGAAATGGTGTAGGGTTTCCTGCCTGAGCAGGGGGTTGGACTAGATGACCTCCAAGGTCCCTTCCAACTTTACTACTTAATAATAATAATAATAAAAAAATTTGCAGACAACACCAAGCTGGCAGGAATAGCCAACACTCCAGAAGACAGGCTTAGGATACAGGGGGGGGGGGGGGGGGGGGGGGGGGGGGATGGGGGGGGATGGGAGCGGATGGTGAGGGGGTGGGGGGGGGGGGGTTGGATGGAGGGGGGGGTGGATTTCGTTGGGGGGGGGGGGGGGTTGGGAGGAGGGGGGGTGGTGAATGGGGGGGGGGGGGGGGGGGGGGGGGGGGATGGGGGGGGCGGGGGGGGGGGGGAATGGGGATGGGACTGGGGAGGTGGGGGGGAAGGAGGGGGGGGGGGGGGCGGCGGGGGGGGGGTGGGGTGGGGGGGGGGAGGGGGTGAGGGGGGGGGGGTGGGGGGGGGGGGGGGGATGGGCGGGGGGGGGGGGCGGGGGGGAGGGGGGGGGGGAGTGGGGAGGGGGGGGGGGGGGGGGGGGGGGGGGGGGGGGGATCTGGACAGACCTGAACACTGGGCACTATCTAACAAAATGAAATTCAAGGGTGAAAAAAGCAAGGTTCTACATTTAGGCAAGAAAAACCAAATGTACAGGTATAGTATAGGGAGTACCTTGCTCAATAGTAGCAACTGTGAGGGATCTCGGAGTCTTAGTGGACAATCACTTAAATATGAGCCAGCCGTGTGCTGCAGCTGCCAAAAAAGCCAACACAGTGCTGGGCTGCATTAACAGAGGAATAGAATCAAGATCAGGTGAAGAAGTGTTAATACCATTTTGGTAAGGCCACATTTGAAATGTGGCATCCAGTTTTGGTCACCACGATGTAAAAAAGATGTTGAGACTCTAAAAAGAGTACAGAGAAGAGCAACAAAGAGGATCAGGGGATTGGAGGATAAAACATATAAGGAATGGTGGAAGGAATTGGGTATGTCCAGTTTAATGAAGAGAAGGATGAGGGAGGACATGATAGCAGCCTTCCAGTATCTCAGTGGCTACCCCAAAGAAGAGGGAGTCAAGCTATTCTCCAAAGCGCCTGAAGGCAGGACAAGAAGCAACGGATGGAAACTCATCAAGAAGAGAAGCAACCTGGAACTAAGGAGATATTTCTTAACAGAACAATTAACTACTAATTAAACAATTAATTAAAAGAGCCGAGGTGGCGCAGCGGTTAGAGTGCAGTACTGCAGGCCACTTTAGCTGACTGTGTTCAGCAGGTCAGCGGTTCAAATCTCACCGGCTCAAGGTTGACTCAGCCTTCCATCCTTCCGGGGTAGGACCCAGATTGTTGGGGGCAATGTAAATATAGATATACATTGCTTACTGGTGTACACCGCTTAGAGAGTGCTTGCACTTAAAGCGGTATATAAGTCTCATAAATAAATAAATAATAATAACCATGGAACGCTTGAACCCAGAAGTTGTGGGTGCTCCCAACACCCGTAGTTTTTTAAAGACGGAGACTGACAGCCATTTGTCTTAAATGGTATGGGGTTTCCTGCCTGAGCAGGGGATCCCGGAATAATGACCTCCAAGGTCCCCTTCGCAACGATTACTAACTACTACCTACTACCTACTACTACTAACTATATTGTATTATCGACATCGCAACAGTCACCAGATGTTCAACTGGATTTGGCATTTGGTCTACCTATGCCAATGGTGTCAAGTGGTGCTCCAGTTGTTTTGGGATTGCACCCAAAGCACCTATTACTATTGGTACTACCTTTGCTTGCTTTTGCCACAGTCTTTCTATTTCTATTTGTAGGTCTTTGTATTTTGTTATCTTCTCCAGTTCTTTCTCGTCTATTCTGCTGTCTCCAGGCACTGCCACGTCCACTATCCAGACTTTTTTGTCTTTCTTATCGACAATTGTTAAGTCTGTGGTTTTTATGTTGTTGTTTTTGTTGTATATTATTATTATTATTATTGTTATTATTATTAAAACATGCTTCAAACTTGACAGGGCGGACCTTAAAACACATAGTAAAGCCATTCTTCTTTCTCAGCTTCCTACTTAAGGGGGGCCCTGGTTTCTGGAGATACTTTGCATTAAATCTGTTTATTAAACTTTTTGCTCTGGTGTTGTGGGGTTTGATCCATCTCGCTTCTGCTATTGGATAACTTCTCCACTGTACTAAGTACTTTAGTTTCCCCTTATGGGTCCAGTTACATTCTTTGTTCTTCCTGGATGGTAAAAGCCTCCAGGATGGTGACCAGCATGTGAGTTCAAGCAGTGGTTAATATATCACAGTGATGGCGAACCTTTCAGAGACCAATTGCCCCAAAACTGGCCCCGCCCCTGCCCCACCCCCTGCCCCGCCCCTGCCCCACCCTGTACTCCACCCCGCCTGCCCACAGGACCACTCACCGCCTCCAAGGCCGGCTGCAGATCGCCCAGGCAGCCCAGCAGCGCTATGGCGGCCACGCCCTCTGCCCACGCCCTGGAGCATCAGCTGTGCACAATGGGGTGTGAGGGCAGAGTCTTGTCTATGCTGCAAGGGCGAGACTGGGCCCTCTGGAAGAAGGAGGGCTGTATTAAAATGTCATCGAAAAAACATTGGACACGGACCGGGATCTGTCTGAGGTGAGCTGCCAGCACTGCCAGTACCTTTGTAAAAACTCTAGGAGCTGCGGATAGGCCGAATGGTAAGGCTCTATACTGGTAGTGCTGGTGATTGTAGCAAAATCTGAGGAATTTGCGATGCCCGGGGAGAATAGGAATATGGAGATAGGCTTCAGTTAAGTCTATTGATGTTAGGAAGTCTCCCCGCCGGATGCTGGCCAAAACTGGCTGTAATGATTGCATTTTCAACTTCCTGTACATCAAGTAACGATTTAATTTCTTTAAATCAAGGATTGCCCTCCAACCCCCTGAAGACTTAGGAACAACAAACAGTGTTGAGTAGAACCCCTGCCCTGCCTGGTCTTGCGGGACCGGTTCTATGGCCCGTATTTGTAACAGGTGGGAAATGGCCTCCGACATGAGGGCCGCTCTACTCCTACCATGTCCTTGGCTGTGCTGCTCCGTGTGGGCCACGCTCGGGGGCGACTCTCCTCCAGTGGGGTTGCTGGTGAGGAGGGGGTCATGGGGGGAGGTGAGGCTGGGGCAACGGCACGGGTGTCCACAGAGAGGGCTCCGAGTGCCGTAGGTTCGCCACCACTGATGTACCACTTCAGGAGGGAACATTTCTGCAAACCTTTAAGGAGGCCCTCATTTGCCCCCCTCCTCAAAATACCATAGCTGTCAATGCTGCAGATACTGTATATTCTTGCTTTGACAATATGCAAAACTGTCTGGTAATTACTGGGTTAATACACAGCTTAGAGTGGGGGGGAGAAAAAGCTCGGGGAAAGAAAGAGGAAGTAAACTTTTGACCTTCACACTAATTGGATAATGTGACTTGTGACTGCAAGACAAGGGAGGGGTTTAGCACGAAAAGGTTGATGCCAGCGAAAGGAAGTCAGATTCTGGCATCAACACGTCCATCATGGTGACTGGCAAAATTGTAGCTCTGAAATAAAACTTTAGGAAACATGCCTGAAAGTTCTTTGAAGTGCTTCATTAGTCGGAACCTGTGACATCAGCTTGATCCTACCGGCTGGGACAACTTCTGTCTGATTTCCAATCTTCTCTTTTTTAAGGAAGTTTGGG